AATTTGGTTTGGATGCAGCTGTTGTCACTGTATGAACATGCTCTGTTTGTTTTACTGCAGACTTAATAGGTTTTTGAGAAAATTTAATGATCAATGCTGCTAACTCTTCAGGGTTAGCATTATCTGAGGCATTAGCAATTGCTGTAGCTATGTCCACTATGTTTACAGAGGTATCTGCTTTTCCTTTAACATACTACTTTGCATCAATGTATCAGCATCTCCTAACTCTTGCCTAATTCCTGCCGGTGCCATTCTCTCTTCTGGAGGAATAACCCTTGTCTGATTGGAAATGCTCTCAGCCCCAACATCATGTTCTAGTGAATGAAATAAAAAGCCATCAAGTCATACACCATGAAAGTTATATTTAAAACATTACAACAATCCTGTATAGATATTGGACCAGGGGTCTTGATCAGCTGGTTCAAGAGCAGATCTAGTAGACATGAATTAACTACCAAAAATACAAAGAATAAAATAAGAAAACATCACCAAGGTCATATTTAATTGTGCAGCAAACTTAGTACTTTTCATTTGATAAATAAATATATGTTAGGATACTACTCATCAAACTCATTAGCAAAATTTTCCTGAAGCCAAAAAGTGAATGCTCTTTGGAGAAAAAACTCAATCTGAATATTCCAAGATTATCACTTGACACAAAAACCAGTGAAATTCATTTCAAGTTACTATATAATATACTTTATACAAATGATCATTTGAATGAAATAAATCCAGGACGATTTCCAATATACTTTCTGTAATGAGTGTAGTGAAATGCACCTTTTTAAGTAAATTTACTGTATCCCTCTGACAAGATATCATTAAGGAAATGGGAAGACAACTGAAAATCACCAAGGTACCTGGTAAACTGTGCATGATACTAGGAGACCCCGAATATGGCTGGCAGGTAAACTTTATCAGCTTACAAGTGAGAGACCATATATACTCCTCAAAATGGAAGAAACAAAACCTAACTACCGGTATGCAAATTTAAGTAAGTCACTAAAAGCATTATTCCAGATTGAGAGTGAGATTGTCTTTCTTAATACCATATTTAAAGAGCAGTGGTGGTCGTGCAGAGCATGTGGGCTCATCTAATTAAATTATGAGTATTAGTTCTGACCTTGGTGCGACATGCACTAATTACCACCACTGACTTGATAACTTCCAATCACCAAAAAAATTACCTAAGCTTGATAAAGTTTCAGTTTGTACTCACTGGTCTGAGCATAGAAGGTATTATGGGTCTAAGTTGCCATCTTTGTTAATATGAGACCCATATCTTGCGTGCGTGGCGAGACAACATTATCAAGAAATGTATACATTTATTATGTAGCCAGTCAGTTCCCAGACTGGAACCGGTAGCGAGTCAGTTCCCGGACTGGAGCCAGTAGCGAGTCAGTTCCCGGACTGGAGCCGGTAGCGAGTCAGTTCCCGGACTGAAACCGGTAGCGAGTCAGTTCCCAGACTGAAACCGGTAGCCAGTCAGTTCCCAAGCTGGAACCAGTAGCCAGTCAGGATACCGGATATTTGTAATGTCTGACTATTTGCCAGGCATATCTCCACTATTGTAAACAAGATGGTTAAAATATCACAATGACAATATTCTAATGTAGTTGTACATTATAAATCTTACCAATGTCATGCTCTCCTACACCAGACTTTCTTTCTTCAAAGCTGCCGTTCAGATTGATATCATGTGTGTGACCCATAGCACCAATCAATGCAATTGGACCATTAGTATGGGGTGGTGTAATAACATCTCCTGCACCAAATGTGGGCTGTAACAAATACACCAAAATAGCTTTAACAATATTGACAAACCAATGAGGCATACAAATTATACAGGTAACATGTAGCTACATATGTATAGCAAAACCCTTTCAGAACATTTATTCCTTGGACAAGATAATGGGATTCCTAGTGCCTTTACAAATGAGGCATACCAACAACACTGCATACTCACAACACTACAAACCCAGTTATGACTACTACATTTTCCATGAGCCTTGCAATAAAGTTGACTCTGCAGGATGGTAATTCAATCAACAATCAAGAGCTGATATATTAGAAATAAACGGTTCTCACTCTAATTGAAGATTGTGCTCTTGCCAAGCCCCCAAGAGCTTCAGACCGAGCACCAAGAAAAGTACCAATAGATATTCGACAAAAACTTTCATTTCCAGTAATATTATTAAAAGATAGTATAGCACCATCATGAAGACCCCACGACTCTCCTAATGGTGGGTCATCAGATGGAGGTACCATGGCATCCTGAAAAAGAAAAGACATGCATATAATAATATACATATATCTGACAAACATTTCTTGGTTCTAGAATCTCTGTTGATGTGACATTTGCATATTTCAGAAGGCTACAGTCCACAGCTGGCTACTTATTGCCACAGAATAAAAATAACAATATTTGCATTATTAGAAGTGCATCTATCCATTTATTGCATACCGATTAAAATATTCCCAGAGCATCTACCGTATTACCCCGGGCATGCGCCCAGGGGCCTGAACATACAAAATCGGGAAAAATTGGGGGTGGGCGCTTACCCGAGGACCACCCCAAAAAAGATTTTAAAAAGTTATTTTTTTTATCAGCGAAAAACTGCAAATTTGGCAAATTCGGCAAATTTGGTTGCACAACTTCCCTTTATCATATACACCCAGCGACACCGATGCCAGCTGACTGTGCTCCCGTTATGGATTCACAGTCAGCGAAGTGCTACGTTTTGAAACCAAAGCTGAGTGCTTCAAACCACTCACCAAGGTATGGATTATTGCAATATTGGATTCATCGTGAATGAAGAGAAAGCAGAATGTGTGCGCCACATGCTGCGTGGTTCATCTTGCGTCGTTAAGTTCCAATGAGTTTTTACGTAAAA